TTATTTTATTGGAGTCACCAATATTCTTGGATATATGAGTTTATATTTTTCATCCAGTATGGCAAAAAAAATTGGTAATTATTTTTCCAAAAATATGTTTGCCTCCCTCTTCTGGGAATCTAGTAACTTATATTTTAGATGGCCTGATAGATCCCACACTGAGAGAGTGCTCATTTTCCTCTACACTGGCTAGATACAACTCAAATGTCTTCCACCTATGCATGAACTGTGGTGTTTATTTAGTTTTGTATTCATACCATTTGTTCTTTCCCTGGTAGTTGATCTTTGACTGGTCTTGTAGAATGTCACCTTGCAGGCCAGGCGCGGTGGCTCACGCTTGTAATCCCAGCACTTTGGGAGGCTGAGGCTGGTAGATCACGAGGTCAGGAGATGGAGACCATCCTGGCTAACACGGTGAAACCCCGTCTCTACTAAAAATACAAAAAAAGTAGCCGGGCGTTGTGGCAGGCGCCTGTAGTTCCAGTTATTCAGGAGGTTGAGGCAGGAGAATGGCATGAACCCGGGAGGTGGAGCTTGCAGCGAGCCGAGATTGTGCCATTGTACTCCAGCCTGGGTGACAGAGTGAGACTCCATCTCAAAAAACAAACAAAAACAAACATGTATGCAGATTTCTGGAACTCTTTTTCCCCCAGAGCTCCCTTCTTTCTGATACTCTGCTCCATAAATTGTAACCATCTTTCTTGGCTTTCTGAACTCTTATGTCTGTCTCCTAAAACTTAATGAGACCACTTTATTCTCCTTGAGATCCTTCTCCCTCAATCATGGTCTGGAAGTGTCCTCAGGTAGAAATCTGGGATTATTGTGGAGCTCTTCTCATTTTTGCTCTTATCTCAAAGATCACAGGCATGTGCTACCTCTTTCCAGTGTCTTAGAACAGGCGTTTCCTATAATTTGTCCAGTTTCCTAGTTGTTCATGGCAGGAGGGCTGTTCCCACATCAGTTATTCTAGTGATAAGCAACAATCCTGTCTTAGTCTGTTTTCTGTTGTTATAACAGAATACCTGAGACTGGGTAATTTATAAAGAAAAGAGGTTTATTTAACTCAAGGTTCTGCAGGATGAGAAGTTCAAGGGCGTGGTCCTAGCTTCTGGCAAGAAATTTTGCACTACATCACAACATGGCAGAGAAAGTTGAAGGGGAAGGGGACATGAGCAAAAAGTGAGGCAAGGAGGAGGAGGAACTTCAGCTTCTAACAACCCAGTCTCTCAGAAACTAATCCATTCCCCTGAGAAGTAATCCTGTATCAGGAGAGTGAGAACTCACTACCAGGAGAATGGCACCAAACCATTCATAACCCAAACCTTCTCACTAGGCTCCACCTTCCAGCACTGCCTCTTTTTAAGGATCAAATTTCAACATGAGTTTTGGTGGAGACAGGAAACCACAACCAAGCCATAGCAGACCTCTATAATTTTTGGTGCTATTGTATGTTTTAAAAATATTTTCTAATTTTGGTTGCTGGTATGTAGGAACAAATTCGTTTTTAAATATTAATCTTGTACACAGCAACCTTGCTGAACTATTTTATTTCTAATAGTTTGCAGAATTTCTTAGGGTTTCTATGTAGATAATCAGAATGTTCATGAATGCAGACAGTTTTATTTTTCCTTTCCAATAATTATCCATTTTATTTACTTTTCTTGCCTTAAGGCATTGGTTAGCACTTTTAGCACCGTGTTAAGTGTTTTAGCAGCCACTCTTTTTTTTTCCTGAAACTAAAAAATTCCTTTAATGTTCTACCTTTACATAGGAGGATTGTATGTTCTGGTTGATAAATTTTATCAGGTTAAGGAACTTTCTGTGTATTCCTAGTCTGTTAAGAATATTTTCAAAAATCATATGTGTGTATTAAATTACATCAAATGTATTTTTCGGAATCTACAGAGATGATCACATGCTTTTTCTCTTTTTATCTGGGATGTTGAATTACATATTTTTTCTAATGTGAAAATATCCTGATATTTCTGGATTAACTCCACTTTCTTAATACCCTGCTGCTTTGGGTTTCTACAATTTATTTAGAATTTTTTCATATGGATCATAAACGAAACTGACATAAAGTTTCTCTTTTTGATGCTGCCTTTCTCTAGTTTGGTATGAAGAATATACTAGCATTATAAAATAGATTGGGTAGTTTCTCTTTTTGTGTGTTTTCTAGCATAATTTGCATGAGATAGGTGATACCTATCAGTTCTCTAAATGTTTAGAAGCATCCATTTGTGAAATCATCAGGTTTTGCTTAGATTTGTTTAGGTTATTTTCTGTGGATGAATTTTTCATTACCGAATTTATTTATTTAGATTTGTAGAGTTTATTCAGCTTTTTTTGTATCCTTAAATAGGTTTGGGTAAAATTCATTTTCCAAGGCAGTATCCCGTTTTATCTCTGTTTCACTGTTTTCAAATTTATGGGTGTAGAGTTGATCATACTGCTTTTTACTATGTTGTATTTATAGTATGCCCTTTCATTCCAAAATGTGTCCTCTCCCATGTTTCTTGATTAACCTTGTATAACAATGCTTTATTTATTTCACTAGTTTTTATTTTAAGAAACCATTTTAAGATTTCTGTTCTATCTTTATTTTTATTGCATTATTTTCTGGTCCTATTTAGTATTTTCTTTCTTCTCCTTTCTTTAGCTTTACTTTTATTTTTAATTTTTTTTTGTTTACTAATTTACTGTTTTTTGTTTATTTGTTTTTTTGAGATGGAGTCTCACTCAGTCGCCTAGGCTGGAGTGCAGTCGTGTGATCTCGGCTCACTGCAATCTCCGCCTCCCAGGTTCAAGCAATTCTCCAGCCTCAGCCTCCTGAGTAGCTGGAATTATAGGTGCCCACCACCACAACAGGCTAATTTTTGTATTTTAGTAGAGAGAGGGTTTTACCATGTTGCCCAGGCTAGTCTTGAACTCCTGACCTCAGGTGATCTGCCTGCCTCGGCCTCCCAAAGTGCTGGGATTACAGGCGTGAGCCACTGAGCCCGGCCAACTTACTAATTTTGTTTACTAATTTGTTTACTAGTTTTTGTTTACTTTTTTTCCTAATAGGCATTTAAGACCAAATGCTTTGGTACTACTTTAGCTGCATTTTACTTTAATATATTTTTAACGTGGTATACTTGTAATATTTAGTTCTGAGTATTTTCTGCTTTTCAGAGCTATTTAGGAAGTTTTGTTATTTTGAATGATCAAATCGATCAGGTTTTGTATTGTCTTTTTATTATTGATTTCTAATTTAATTGTATTTGGGCCAGAAATACGGTCTATTTGATAATATTCTTTGGTATGTGTTGATCTTTTTCATGGCTTAGAATGGCTTAGCTGTTTTTGGTGCTCTGAAATTTCACTGTGATGTTTCTAGGTGTGGTTTTATTTTAATTTATCCAGATTGGGTCACATTTTCCATTCTGGAAAATTTAAAATTGTCTCCTTACTGCTCATCTCCCCTTGCTATTATGCCTATCTGGAACCTCTCTTAGATATATACTGTACCTTCCCATTTTGTCCTTCATATCTCATAACCTCTTGTTTCATATTTTCCAACCCATTTTCTCCTACTGTATGGCAAGTTTCCTCATAGCTCTGTTCCATTTATTAATTTCCTTATCTGATGTTTCTAATACATTGTTCAACCCATCTTTTAAAAATTAATTTCATTGAATATATCTATTTATATAACTTCTAATTCATCTTTCTCCACAGCTATTTGAAGTTCTTGGGGGTTTCATACTGTTGGGGGGTGTGTGTGTCCCTTAGTTTGGGGATTGATAGATTATTTCCTTACGTATTTTCTAATTTTGAATAGTGAGCTCATCTTCAACAGTGCCTTATCTGTGGAAATTCTGTGGAATCTGTCTTTAGAAAGTATCTCTCCAGAAGGGGTTTATCTTTGCCTTTTCTGGAACCCCAAGGTTGATTCCGTATGGTGGTGTCTTTTCCCCTGCACCCAGAGAACACGCTGAGACAGACAAGCTTCCTGTTTTCTTCTTTTGTTGGTGGGAGGATTTTTTTTTTTCTTTTTCAATGTAATGTTAGCCTCTGGGAGTCCTGGCTACATGTAGGGAGAGGTGGTGAGTTTTAATTCCACTTCCTTGTTTGGGTTATTCTTTATCCATTTTTTTTTTCAATGTAATGTTAGCCTCTGGGAGTTCTGGCTATACATAGGGAGAGATGGTGAGCTTTAGTTTCACTTCCCTGTTCAGGTTATTTTTTATCTAGGAGAGCATTAACACCAAGCACAGGTTCATATTTCGTGCTTAGTACCTTTCCAGTGTTTGACTCCCCAAGCTTTCCCTTACTTAGAGAGCATTTAAAGGATGTTTGCTATATTTTGATCACTTTTTTGTAACACATATGTATTGGGATGCCATTGACATCTACCTTGAGGCTTTGGCCTTGAGGTGATGTGTGAGTCTAATTGTACAGCTCAAAGCAGAGGACTTCAGTGATTTCAAGGTCATTGTTTTATACACCAAGGATTTCTGTGAACAACAATAATGCAGACTTTTCTCTTTTGTGGCATGTACATGCTTGGCATGAAGCTTTCAAACTGCATCTGTCTTCATTTCCTTAAATTTTCTCAAAGTTAATGAAAGTTAAATGAATTTAAGGGTATGGAACTAAAACTACAAATACTTGTTTTTTGTTTTTGTTTTTGTTTTTTGATTAAGTGGTGTAACCACAGAATGTTTTTGTAACTTTTACAAATATATTCATTTGTAATGTTATTATCAAAAATATTCATTGGGGATTACACAATAAAGCAAGTCTTCAACATCTACATAACATATGAGAGTGTTATTGGTACTTAATGAAAGCCTATCTTTAAAAGAAGTAGGCATTCCTTGAGGGAAAAGTGTTATGCAATTGAGAATTTTGATTATCCTTATTGCTTTACTGTGATTCACCACTAAAACTGATTTCTTAGTAAAATATTACTTCACTTTGATTTCAGGAGTCTTCCTTACATCACTGAATAATGAATGAGGATGAGAGAGAGAAAGAGAAGAGGTATGCATTCATAACTGACTGACATTTCTGTCAAAGCCCTCTCCCTCGTGCTCTGTTCCCATTTCACATCTAGCAAAATGCTATTTCCTCAGGGAAGCCTAATTCACTCAGAGAAATGTCGTTTCTCCAGTGTTGTTTTTTTTTTTTCATAACTCTCAGCCCCAACTCTATTATAATACTTAGCACATTACCTATTTACCTGACAGCCTTCTTCCTCAAACTGTGTCCTCCATGCCTTGCATAGTGCCTGCCCAGAGCTGACTCTAATGGTTGTCAAATGACTGACAAGTATACAGTCCCTGATATTTTTAGAAGACTGTTTTTGAGCCTTGGCTTGCCTACAGCTTAAATTCATTTGTGTTTGAGAAGATAAATTAATTTATTTTTCCAGATCAAACTTCTAAAATAAATTCAAGTACACTGATCAAAAAGATTTTGTCAAAAGTTTGCAGTATGATCTGTGGTTTTTAAAAGTAAAAAATAAAAAATCAATTAGCATTTTATGGTTCAGTCTCCTCTCTGAGAAGAGCATTGGCTTTGAGAGAGCCTCTTGTGTGATTATAGACCACTTAGAAAGAATTTAATTTTATCAGAAACACTCTTGCTAAAGGATGTAATAATATATGGTGGAACAAAGACCCACCGTTAAATTCAAATTAATTTGGACTTATTTTATATAATTCTTAGGTCACTGTGCCAGGTACTGTGCGGGGCTTTGCTCTGGAAGAGACAAGGAGACAGATATGGTCCCTACCCTCAAGGGCCCCACAGCAAAGGGAGATGAAGTTGGCTTTCATTTCCTTATTTTAATAATGATTATTATTGTTGCTCTATGGGTAATCAAAGGACGGGATTTTTGCTCAAATATTGACACTAACTTCTCCCTTTCTCTCTTCTTACCTTCTATTGTTCCATCATCTGATTTCCCCACCCCACCCTTGCCATTAGTAACCCTGATTGGTTTTCTTTTTCTCAATTAGGGATGAATCTGATGAATTCGAAAAGGCAAAGAAGGCTGAATTAAATGCCGTCTTGACAAGACTCCGCAAAATACTGCAAACTCATGGCTATCCTGTAAAAGGAGACAAATCGGAAACATCACAGAGCACCACTGTCCTTTCACAAAAGGACAAAGGTTTGATTTGTTCAGCCTCCACCATCATTATAGGTTTTCGATTAGCCACATTGAAAATTACCTGTGGGTGGGACAACTTGGTCTCTCACTTTACCTCAGACATTCGTTGGGAAGAATTAATGATTAGAGGAACTCTTGAAGTACCTTCTAATACACAGATAGTTTGTTTCTTTGCATTCACAAGTTTGTATATGGTTGACACTTAAAATGTGATTGAGATTCATGCAAAAGTGGGCCAAGGAAATGAAAATTAATAGAAGCATATGTGGGAAATAATGCAAATTTCTGTATCTTAAGCACTTAAAGGTATGTGGTAAATGTTGCTGAGGGAAACATGGCCCCGAGCCTGTAAAATATTACCTACAATATTTTAAGGTTTAATTCAGTAGGTTTAACTCAAAACATCTGAGTAAGTCATGCCCATAAATATGTAATTATACTGTAATAATCTCTTACCTTAAAATAATTTTTGACCCCATGATACCTCCAGGTATTGCCCTATTTCTGTGTTCTCCTCCTTCACAGAAAAACTTACTGAAATGATTTTATGGGCCCTGTCTCCACTGGCTCACATCCCATTCTTTCTTCAACCCACTTCACTGAGGCTTTAGCTCCTACCATTCAACTACAACTACTTTTGTCAGGAATACCAGTGACCTTCACATTGCTGAATTATTTGGTTTAACTGTCCTCATCTTTCTTGACTTTTCCAAAACATTGAACATGTGACCACTCCCTCCTTTTTGAAACACTTTTCCCTCAGGTTCCGGGACAGCACAGTCACTAAGTTTCTTTCCTGGTTCATTGGCGTATTAGTCCACTTTCACACTGCTGCTAAAGACATACCCAAGCCTGTGCAATTTACAAAAGAAAAAGGTTTAATTGGACTTACAGTTCCACATGGCTGGGGAAGCCTCACAATCATGACGGAAGGGGAAAGGCACATGTTACATTGCAGCAGGCAAGAGAGAGAATGAGAGCCAAGAGAAATGGGTTTCCTGTTATGAAACCATCAGCTCTCGTGAGATTTTTTCACTACCACGAGAACAATATGGGAGAAAGTGCACCAATGACTCAATTATCTCCCACCAGGTCCCTCCCACAAACGTGTGGGAATTATGGAAGTACAATTCAAAATGATATTTTGGCAGGGACACAAAGCCAAACCATATGAATTGGCCCCTCTTTATCTGTGTTTTTTTACTTCTTCCTCCCCTTTCAACTTCTAAACATGGGTGTACCCATGGCTCAGTCCTTGGACTTTTTTCTCTTTTATATTTACACAGTACCCATTTTCCAGGTTACCTTATCTATTCCCTTGATTTGAAGTGTTATGTAGATATCAGTGACCTCCACTTTTAAAATCTATCTCCAGCCCTGAGCTCCTTCCCTGAGAATCATACTTATTATACAATTAGCAAAAGAGTTTTCTACGTGATGTCCTCAATTGCATATTAAATAGGAGGGTTAACATGGCCATAAAGGAACTCTTGATACCCCTACACTGCATTGCCTGTCTCATCCCCACCTCCAGTTCTCTTCATATCAGTAACTGGCAACCACCAGTCGTTCTGCCAGGCGCACAAGCAAAAAGTTTAGAAGCCATTCTTATTTCCTCCACTTCATTCACCATCCTATCCAATTCCTCTGCAATATTTTTTTGGCTTCTACCTACACAGTATGTTTCATATCTATACATTTCTCACCATTTGCGTAGCCTTGATGTACCACCCAAATCCAGGCCACCATCATCTCTTACTTTTTTTTCTTTTTCTTTTTTAAATTGATCAATAAAAATTGTGTGGATTTATGGTATAGAACATGGTATTTTGATATATGTACACACTGTGGAATGGCTAAATCCAGCTAATTGATATATGCATTACCTCACATACTTACCTTTCTCTGATGAGACCACATCAAATCTACTCTCTTAGCAATTCTCAAGTGTACAATATATTGTTATTTACTGTAGTCACCATGATGTGTAATAGAACTTGAACTTATTCTAACTGAAATTTTGTATCCTTTGTCCAACATCTCCCCATTCCCTCATCTCTTACTTTTGATGAAGGTTCATAGCTAGATTCTGCCTCTATCTTTGCTACCCACTTCATTCTGTTTGCAACAAACAGCCATAGGGATCTTGTAAAAATCTACCATGTCACTCTGCTGCTTAAAAGCACTTCATGGGCTGGGCACGCTGGCTCACACCTGTCATCTCGGCACTTTGGGAGGCCGAGGTGGGTGGATCACCTGAACTCCTGAGGTCAGGAGTTCAAGACCAGCCTGGCCAACATGGTGAAACCCCATCTCTACTAAAAATACAAAAAATTAACTGGGTGTGATGGCAGGTACCTGTATTCCCCGCTACTTGAGAGGCTGAGGCAGGAGAATAGCTTGAACCCGGGAGGCGGAGGTTGCAGTGAGCTGAGATCGCGCCACTACACTGCAGCCTGGGAAACAGAGCGAGACTCTATCTCAAAATAATAATAATTAAAAGCATTTCATGTTTTACTCAGCATAAAATACAAACTTCTTACCATATACCCTACGTGATCTGGCCCTTCCTATCTCTCAGGCTTTCCTACTGCTTTACCCCCTGGTCATCCCACTGCGGCCACTTTGGGATCCTTTCGTCTCTTCAAATAGGCAAAATGATTTCCTGCTTCATGTTGCACTTACTGCTTCATCTCCCTGAGATGATTTGGTCCCATATCTTCACACAGTTGCTTTCTTGTCTATCAAATCTTAGTTCAGATGTTACCTTCCTAGTACCTTCCTAGTAAGGCTTTTCTTGATCACCCGATCTTACCAATTATTGTACTTGCAGATACCTGAAACTGTCTGTTCTGTTGTCTATGTGTTGATTATTTGTCTACGCTGCCCCATCAGTCTGTAAGATACAAAAGAACAGTCACCTTATTTTTCTTGTTTATGCTGTATCCTGAACCTGTAAAGCAGAATATGACCCATAGCAGAAGCTCTGTAAACATTTGTTAAATAAATGAATAAAAGAGGTTCAGTTTAACAAGTGTTAAATCCCTGCCATGACTTAAGTACCATGTTAGACATTGGGGATATGGTGAAGAATTGGATATGATGCACACCTTAGAGAATAAACAAAAACAAGTTCATGGGTAATAGTAAAGTAGAAAAGTCCTTTATGATTTATTTATAAAATACACTGGTTATCCTTTCTTGACAGTATATGAACTCCCCTATCTTTTTTATTTCTTTGAATGAAGTATAGGAGGTGAAAGTTATTAGATGGAACTGGAAGGCAATGGAGAAATTTCTTCAGAAATTGACTGTGGAAGAGTATCATGGGTTGTTTCTTGAGTTTGAAGAGCTATGCCTAGAATTGAGTTTCCAAGCGGGGACAGTGGTCAGGATCACTGATCTTGAGGCATTTATGCAGTTGGCATGGTTTACTTTTCATGTTACTCCTATTTCACACCCAGTTACACACCCTATTTTCATTCCCTCATCAGTGAGGGCTCTAAAGCTCTCCTTATGCATGGCCTCTCTCTTACCCAACTCTACTTCTAGGAACGAGTCAGAGACTCATGCCTGTCAAGAAAGCAATAGCCACTGTAAACATTATCCTTGTCATACGATTTTATATTTTTAATAGAGATCAAAGTTGTATGCTATGGGTCTCATTTTTCTGTGAGGAGAAGGAACTCTAATGTTTATTGACATGAAGTATTAAAATCACTTGAGATTAGAGGGCTGTGTTAGTGAAGTCCCTTTGCTAGTGAAGTTAGTGGAGTAGGGTGGAGTTGGGGAGGTAGAGAGTGGCACATGTTGACAGCAGACAGGAGCAGAAACACACTTTTCATTGAGGAAACCAGAAAACCCTGAAGAATGTGATAGGACGGATGGGGGAGAGGACAGTACCAGTAGCTTGGAAGAGATGAAAGATAAAGCTTGAAGATATTCTAGTTAAGGGGCCTTGTGTAAAGCTTAAATAGATGAAACTAAAGAGTGGAATTTCATAATTTAGTCAGGACTAGGGGAGGACTTTGGGGGTCTGGACCTACTTAGAGCCCCTTGACTTACCTGGCGGATTATGGATACTGGGTTTTGGTAGAACTCAAGAGGAAAAAAATAACTAGAAGTTGAAAAATCATAAAAGTGTTTAACAGGTCATAATGTGTGTGGTAGAAATTGAGTTGGATGATCTTCAAAGTCTTTTTCAATTCCAAACACTTCTGTGTTTGTGATCATTTATATACAATTAGTTAGCCAACATCAGATCCTTCATTAGCACTCAGCATTTTCTCATGAGTCTTTTCTATAAATTAGGTATAACTTTGAAAAATCTGATACCCATAGCTAATCATTTTAATGTGACACTGTTCTGTACTTTCTTCCTTTTTCTAAAAAGACAAAGTCAATCCAAAAAGCTCTCAAAGGAAATTACATTGGATTCCATCTTTTCGTACCTATGATGACTTCAACCAAATGATGCTACAGGTAAGAGGGCTTTTGTTCTTTGATTACTTCATATGTTGAATACATGTAATAGAAGACAAAGAATATAGTGTTCGTCAAAGTGTGATTAGGAGATAATATGCATTAGAATCAACCAGAGAGCTTGATAACTTAAATCGTCTGGATCAGAATCTCAAACCTGTTAGGGCCAGGAGTTTGCATTTCTCTCAAGCTCCCCGGATGCTTCCTATGCCAACTGAGTTTTGAGAAACACTGATTTTGAGTGACAACAAACACAAACAAATCTTTGCATAGGTTAGTGGCAAGTTAAGTGGTTATCTGGTAGACTCTTTCAACATAGATGGTTATACTCTAATGAATTAGCCTTCAAGTAGTTGTTCCCCCCTCAAGAATGTAAGGTGTTTATAGTTTCTATCTCCAAGAGAACTGGTTAGTTTCACAAGCCACAAACTGCACTCCGAAGGACCATATTCCTTTGAGTTGGACAGATAAGGATACAGATTTTGCCTTTGTCACTTACTTGCTGTGTGTCTTGACTGAATTACCATCTCTGAGCCTTGATTTCTTTCTCTTTAAAATGAGTAAAAATGATCTTTATCTCATTGAGATGATGTGAGAATAAAATAAAGTGAACATGTGTAAAATATATAGTACACTGTTTGGCAATATTGGACACCCAGAAATTATCAGTCTGGTCCCTTTTCTCTTTCGGTACTGGCTGATCACCCAGCACTATGACCATTAGTGGTCATAATGGTGTCTGAGAAAGGCATTGTGTGAGTGAATCTTTTCAAACCCATCCCAATGTTAGAGCCAAAATTCTACTGACTGTGAATGAGTGGAACCATATTTTAATATTCTACTTCATTTTTCTTCCTTTTAAGCAACAGACTCTCACTTTTTTTTTTTTTTTTGACACAGGGTCTCACTCTGTCATCCAGGTTGGAGTGCAGTTGTATGATTGTAGCTCACTGCAGCCTCAGCCTTCTGGGCCCAAGCAATCCTCCCACCTCAGCCCCCAAAGTAGCTGGGACCAGAGGTGCACACTACCATGCTCAGCTAATTATGTTTTATAACTCTTTATAGAGACAAGGTCTCACTATGTCACCCAGGCTGGTCTCCTGAGCTCCTGGGCTCAAGCAATTCACCTTGGCCTCCCAAAGTGCTGGGATTACAGGCATGAGCCACTGCACACGACCCTCTCTCAGTTTTATTAAAGGTTTTGTTTTAGGGATCCTATACACAAATATTTGCTAAATAGAGGACTTAAAATGTGTTATGTGAAATCTTGTTACCAATTTTATGAAACCAGATGCTTGTTTGAAATATTTTAGAAGCTAGACAAGGTATAACTATACCCTGGAGGGATAATTATGTTCACAACTACAGAATATATGGCATTCAACTGGAAGGATCAGAATATCTTGGGTAATTCCCTCCTTTCCACTTTATTCCCCTCCATTAGGCTTTAATAACTTCCCTAGAAAAGTCTGTTCTTTATTCATGAAGTTTTTTCTTGCAATAAACAAGCTCAGTCTGACCAATCAGGGCTGACTTCAGCCAGAGAGATGGAAACATCAGGAAATCTGAGAAGAGGGACAGTAGAGGGCTCTTTCTCTTCACTTTCTAGTTTCATTACAGCTTTGGCCATTCTTTTGAAGCATGAAAGAAAGCGGAGTTTGGAGGGCAAAAGAGCAAGGTGCCTTTGTTTCTTATGGCTTGTATTTCAGAGCAATGACTTAGCTTTGGATGTTTCCTTCCTGTTTGCCATACTGTTGGTCAAACGTAAGAGCCTCCTGACATCTGTGTAACAACCTACACAGTGCTCTCATGTAGAGTAGCCGCTCTCATGTAGAGTGCTCTCATGTAGAGTAGCCTACACAGTGCTCTCATGTAGAGCATCCTCTTATGAGTAAGTTAATAGGCTTATAAGAAGCCTATGAGTAAGTTAATAATGATGTTGATCCTTTTTACTGTAGGAAAGAGGAGACCAAACTGGGAGAGCTTGCACCTTGCACCTTGTGCTACTCCAAGACCTGTTGAGTAGCACAGCTAAGTAGCACACCATGTTTCCTCACTTACACTCCAGCCCATGGGGGTCCAGACTAACTCAGAGCAAACCATCTCAGTAGAGAATGTGGTAATCAAAATGCCAAAAGCAAGCAGACATACAAAAAATGAGTAGAGGAGCAAAACGCCTTACCAGATCCGCCTAGACTGTTTTCTGAACCTATGTGTTTGGAAGGTCACTTCAGGCATGTGGCAATTTTGGACGTTATCTTTTGACGTCTAATAGGAAATAGCAAGCACCCAGTTTTAAAAACTTTTACTTAAAATTTTATCTTACAAAAATGTATATAACATATATTAACAGTTAAAAAATAGTACAGGTAACACTGAGGTTAAGAAATAGAGCATTACCAGATCCTTTGAAATCCCCTTTGTCATGATCTTCTTCTTCCACACCACTTCTTCCCTACCATTTCCTGAGTTCTGTATCAATATTCCTTTGCCTTGCTTTGTATTTTTAGGACAAGTGTATGCATCTGTAAGTGATATGTTGTTTTCTTTTGCATGACTTTCACCTTTATATAAATTGAATTATATTGTATGTATTCTTCTCTGACTTGATATTTTTGCTCAACCTTTTTCAATTCATCCATGACACTGCATGTAACTCTAGTGCATTCATTTTTACTTCTGTATTCTTGTTAGAACATACTGTACAATTAACCATTTTACTGTTGATGGGCACTAGAAATCGGTTTTAGCTCATGCTCCTTAGGAAGTAAAGGCAGAAACAAAACTTACATGCTAAGGTTTTAGTGGGATATACATTCTCAGGATAGTGAGGGTGAGGGGGAAAGAAAAGTAAGGCAGGGAAGAAGGGAACTGAAATTTAGGATAGTTTATTACCAAGCTGGATACAGCTTCACAAGAACACACAGTGGGTTGTTCAGTCACTCTTAAACTATGTAAAAGGCACCGCACCTTAGAATAGTCTGTATAGGGGAGGAAGGGAAAATACTGTATCTACCAGTTCCTTTCTATCTCCTGTCATTTTCTATCTCCTGTCCTTAGTCAAAAGTCACCTGGCTTTTTTGGAAACCCACTGGGGTACCCAGATCCGATGCCCCAAGGTGGATGAAGTTACTGCTTTCATGAATCCAGTCACTTTGGATGGATACTGAAAACCCCTACTGCTGGCGGAGTTAGGAGACTAAGCTGGGACTGCAAAAGGAAAGCTAAAATCCCTGGCTTGATTGAGGGTGGGATGGGGTATGAATCGGAGGCGCATAAACTGGGTCTTGCAGAGCTGTAGGTTTTTGTTATTGAGAGCAGTTTTGGTTTGAACATTTTTGTTCGTATATCCTTTTCCATATAAGCAAGAGTGTTTCTAGGTGTGTATCTAGGAGTGAGATTGCTGGAGGGTAGAGTGGAGTGGTAGGGTAGCTCCCCTTTACATGAAAATGACAATGCTTTTCAAGTGGCTGTGTTTCACTGTGTATTTTACTGTTCATTTATATTCTTAGTAGTAGTGGATGAAAGTTCTTATTGCTCCACATCCTTGCTAACAATTTATTGTCTAATTTTTAAATTTTTGTCAATTGGTTGGGAATGGAATGGTGTCTTGTTTCATTACAAATGACAATGAGCGTCTTTTCCCAAATTTTGAGGCCATTTGTGTTTCCTCTTCTATGAGATGCTTGTTTCTAACCTTTGCTCAGTTTCTTATGATATTGTTGTTCTTTCTAATTATTCATATGTTGGAGATTTTAAACAGATTCTGGAAATGAATCACTTGCAAGTTATGTGTTGCAAAATTCTTGTTCTAGTTTGAAACTTGCCTTTTCACTATTTAAGGTGACTTTTGACAAACAGAAATTATTAATTTTAAAGTAATCAAATTTACCAAAGAGTGTTTACTTTCTTGTTTAAAAAATCCTTAACCTACCACAAGGTAATAAATATATTCTCTTATATTTTATTCTAAAAGCTTTAACGTTTTATCTGTTATATTTAATGTGTTCATACTTTTTGAGTTCTTTTTTGTGTATGCTATGAAGGAGAAACATTATAAAGATAAGAGAATATTTTAAAGTAGTGATTTCGCTGTTTAATGATGATGTGATTGGTTATATTTTTTACTTCTTCTCAAGTTACTTTTTGTAATTTATATTTTTCTAAGACTTGCTTTCAAATTTGTTGGCATAAAGTTGTTCATAATGAAGCTTCTGTAATGATATCCACTTTTCACTCCTAATATTATTTGTGTTTTTTGCCCCATGATTCGTCTTACCAGAGTTTTGTCAATTTTAATGTTCTTTTCGAAGAATTGACTTTTAACTTTCTTGATTCTCTCCATTGTGTCATTATTTTTTATTTTATTAATTTCTGCTATTTTTATTATTTACTTTTTTCTACTTTTTTGGGTTCGTTTTTTGTTCTCTAACAATTTTAGATTATTTAATTCATTGATTTCTAACCAATTTTCTTTTCTAATATATACACTTAGGCAAAGATTCCCAAATGTTGTTTTAGCTGCATTTCACAAGTCTTGATAAATGGTGTTTAAAAAATTATTATATCATAAATGCTTTCTAATCTCCATTATAACTTATTATTTGGCCTGTTTTTTTATTATTGTAAAATGTATATAACATGAATTTATCATTTAATCACTTTTAAATATAGAGTTCAGTGGCATTAAGTACATTCACATTATTGTGCAACCATCACCACCATCCATTTCCAGCTTTTAAAAGCTTGCGTAATTGAAACACAATAACTCCCCATTCTCACTTTCTCCCAGTTCCTGGTAACCACCATTCTACTTTGTGCATCTATCTATTTGGCTGTCCTAGGAACTTCATATAGATGGAATCATACAGTAGTGTCCTTTTGTGACTTGTTTCACTTAGTATAATATCTTCATGTTTCATCCATGTTGTAGTATGTGGCAAAATTCTCTTTCCTTTTAAGGCTGAATAATATTTCGTTGTTTGTTATACATTTTGGTTATACATTCATCTGTTGGACACTTAGATTGTTTACACCTTTTGGCCATTATGAATAATGCTTCTGTGAGCATAGGTGTACACATATCTGTTTGAGTTCCTGCTTTCAGGTTGTTTTTTTTTTTTTTTATACACCCAGAAGTGGAAATGCTGAATCACATGATAGTTCTATGTTTAGTTATTTGAGAGACTGCCATAGAGTTCTCTATAGCAGCTTTGTCATTTTACACTACCCTCAATAGTGCATAGGGGTTTCAATTTCTTCATATCTTGTCCCAAAACTATTTGTTTTGTTTTAATCATAGCCCATCCTAATGGGTTTGAGGATTTCGTGACTTTATCCAAATGTAGAATCCTGTTTGCAATTACTTGGGCTTCCTGAATCTTAAGATTGGTGTATTTTATTACTTCTGGATAATTTTCAACCTGTATCTCATTGCATATTTCCTCTTCTCTGTTATATTATCTCCTTCTGGAACACTGATCAGACATATGTTGGACTTTCTCATTCTCTTCTCCATGAAATGAATTTATCTTATTTTTCCATTTGTATGGCGCCTTGTGTTACATTCTGAGTCATTTTCTCAGCTCTTTCCAGCTCAACAATTTTATTTCTGGCTGTGTTCTAACATGCTATTTAACCTATACATTAAGTTTCTAATTTTGATGACAATATCATCTATAGACATTTTGTTTGATTATGTTTTATATCTCACGAGTCAGTTTTGAGTCTCTTGTTTCTTCATATTTTTAGTGCCCTTTGTTATTTATTTAAGCCTATTAAGCATACTTGTTTTGTATTCTGTATCTGATAATTCCAATATCTGTTATTTTTTAAATATGATTCTTTATTTTATTATGTCTGTTGCCTCTTGTTCATAATGCTTCATCTCTTCCTGTGTTTTGTTTTTATTATAAGCTCGTATTATTTGTAACTTTATCTGCATGAGTTCTTTGAACCCTCATTTTAAAATAATTGTCTAGATGTGATTTTGATTTACTTTTGTTAGACATATGGGGTCAGGATCACTTTAAACTAGATATTAGACTTTAGTCGTTGAGGGCCACACAGGTAGTATATGAATTCTAGCTCTAAGTTTGTGTAAAGGTGGGCTTCTGCTTAGTGCCTCCTAAAGTTGACTATTTTCTCTTTTCCTACTCTTCCCAGGACTGAGGCTGAGGGAGGCATGCACATTCCCTGTCTCCTTTCACTGGATAAGATTTTTCTGTTTCACCTGTTGAAGGTGTCACAGCCTTTTGGAGACCTGGCTTTATATTGTGGTCTTTGATTTCACCTCCTGCCTTGTACAGGCCTCGGCTTTGCTTTTGTCCCCCAAGCTCTAGGCCATCAGTGTTGGAAGATAGTCTCAAGGCAGATACAGGGTCTAATATTCTCTGATGTCTTAATTCTCACAATCTAGCCATTTCTGACACCAGATTATTTCCCTTACTTTACCAATAGCTTGGTCCTGTTTTGAAAAATAAGTTTTAATATATTTTATTCATCATTTTAGATATTCTCTACCAGGAGGCATTTGTCTGGCTATTGAATCCATTATATAGCAGGAAAGTGATGGCAATATCCATATTTATAAGGAGATGACTAACCTAACCACAAATGAAAGTGTCCTTAAAATATTTTTAACTTTTTTGAAATTAAGTGTTCTTAAAGTGAAACAACCTACACATGGAAATGAATCTTCTTAGCTTGTGTTAGAGAATTTCATGTTAATTGGGTGTACATTGAAATTTGTTTGTTTAAGTGACACATCATTTGATAAACATTTCATGCTTAAGGTTAAGTAGATTCTGTGTAGGAGGCAGAATAATGGAATTTTAATTAAGTCTGTGCCTATTTTATTGATATTTAAGGACTGCAATACATTTCAGTGTGCCATTATAAGTATCTAAGCATTTAGCAATAAAGCTATCATTTTATTATTGTTCCACTATTTAATTACATTATTATCCTCTCGTCATTAGTTATTAGATGGCTTTATGATTACACTGAGCGCAGATGGAGTGATCATTCATGTGGCTGAAAACATCTCTTCTCTTCTTGGACATTTACCAGTAAGTTCTTTCTACTTTTGGGAAAGTGGATCATTCTGGTTTGTTGGTTAGGGGTTCGTTATTTATTTTCAGGAGCATAAAGCTCATCAGAGAAGATGTTTTCCATGTTGTCTAAACGTGCCCCTGTTTTATTGTCATTTTCATTGGTTTCAGAATACTGTAGATTGGGTGCCTTTGTAAGCAACACAAATTTACATTTTATAGTTTTAGAGTCTGAGAAATCCAAGATCAAGGTGCCAACAGATTTGGTGTCTAGTGAGGGCCCACTCTCTGGTTCATAGACATCTTTATTCTTATTATAACCTCACATAGTAGAAGAAGCAAGGGAGCTCCTTTTTTTTTTTTTTTTTTTGAGATGGAATCTCACTCCGTCACCCAGGCTGGAGTGCAGTGGTGCGATCTCGGCTCACTGCAACCTCTGCCTCCTGGGTTCAAGTGATTCTCTTGCCTCAGCCTCCTCAGTAGCTGGGATTATAGGCACACGCCACCACGCCTGGCTAATTTTTGTATTTTTAGTAGAGACAGGGTTTCACCATGTTGGCCAGGCTGGTCTCAAACTCCTGACCTCAAGAGATCTGCCCATCTCGGCCTCCCAAAGTGCTGGGGTTAAAGGCATGAGCCACCATGCCCAGCCTAGGGGTCTCTTTTATAAGGACACTAATCCCATTAATCATCCCCAAAGGCCCCATCTCTTAATATAATACCGTCACATTGACAGTTAGATTATTTCAATATATAAAGTTTTGGGGGACATAAACATTCAGTCTGTAGCAAGGCCTTGATATTCCACTTATACAGGTGCTTGAGGAGGGGTTACCTAGAATACATTTACCAACAACAACCCTCCCACACAAACTGTCTGCCATTGGCATGGTTGTGTTAACAAAAAGTTTTGGGAGAGGATATGAAGAAATTGAAACCCCTATGCACTATTGGTGGTAGTGTAAAACAATCATATCTCGGTTGTTTTCATTACGTATTCCTCATTCCACAGAGTTGTCTCAAGAACTTGACAAACCCTGATCCAGAGATCTGTAGCACTCAAGTTTGGAACATGGAAATTAATAGAAGCCAGGGTTAGATTATCCTGTAGTTAGGTTGGAAGTGGATTAAAAACATTTCACTAGTTTAGCCAGGCCAGTTGGCATGTTCCGTGGCCTGCTTGGAAACTCAGAGTCCTTATACCCTTTAAAAAAAATTACAGATGCGGCCGGGCACGGTGGCTCACGCCTGTAATCTCAGCACTTTGGGAGGCCGAGGCGGGCGGATTACGAGGTCAGGAGATCGAGACCATCCTGGCAAACACGGTGAAACTCCATCTCTACTAAAAATACAAAAAAAAATTAGCCGGGCGTGGTGGCGGGCGTCTGTAGTCCCAGCTTCTCGGGAGGCTGAGGCAGGAGAATGGCGTGAACCTGGGAGGGAGCAGAGCTTGCAGTGAGCGGAGATCGCTCCACTGCACTCCAGCCTGGGTGACAGAGCGAGACTCCGTCTCAAAAAAAAAAAAAAAAAAAAAAATTACAGATGCTAGAATCAATCTCTTTTATTTCTCATTCTCTTTCGTTTTTTTAAAAAACAGTTTACATTTTCAAATTCAGCTTATATTTGTAGGCTACCAAAACAGCTGAATAAAATGCAAATAGAGATATTTATTGGATTGCACTTTAGTATATTTAAATCATAGAAGGAAAAGATTCTTTTAAAATCTATATTTAAAGAAGGAATGTGCGAGTATGATCCATTACAGCTTAAATTTTATTATAATGAAGACCAGAAAACTACCCAAATTTTTGTGGCATCAGATATTGCTTAAACCAAATTGGTCATTGGCTGAGACTGGTGACTTTTTCTTATTATGTGAGGATTTATTATAATGATGGTGTTAGTTATGATATGATCTTGCTTCTTTATGTATTTGGCCCAGAGTTTTCATTATCAAGAAGCTCTTTCACCCTTCAACATTTGAGGTACGACACACACACGCTGCCCCAAAACCACAAGGTCTAGAGAGGTATCTGGGACGTGTGCTTTGAACTGCCAGCCTTAAACAATAGACTTGATTTACCTGAGATCAGTGTACTTAAAAATAAATGTATAACTATTATATTTGTACATAAACATTAAATGGGAATTAAGTTATATATTCCTATAAAACAAGGTTAAAAACGACTACACCTGAGGCATAGTTTCACACTTCCTCATTAAATCCTAACTGTTCTTAATTTTTCGAAACAGGCAATCTTTTTCTCAGGCTTTGATTAAAAATTTCATTTTGTAAGTCATCCAACTTATATTATAAAATGGAGACCAAACCATTTCTAGAGTGTCTGCGTGGCTCCAGGAATCTTCAGTTTCATTGCACATCTAGGCACCTCTGTCTGTGGAGCAACTCCAAACTAATAGCATGGTGGAATGGAAAGAACTTGGTCTTTGGAATCAAATAATCAAATAATCTAGAAATTAAAATTTGCTTTGTTTCTCTCTAACTACATAACCTTTAGTTTCTCTTCTATAAGTGGGGAAATAATATTACTTAGAGAGTGCTGGGAGATGAGTTATTATAAATAACATGATTATACAGAGACCTGAATGGAGTATGTGTGATATGCAGGTAATTGGAGCAAGTATCTTTCAGACAGAGGAGAAAGCATATGTAAGAACCTGAAAGCAGGAAAAGGTACAGCAGAGAGAACAGTGTGGCTGGAGTGATGTGAGCAAAAGGAAAATAGAGATGATAAAGCCAGAGCAGTAACAGGAGAAGTAACATCCCTTTTCCTCTGAGATGGGAGGAAGCCATTGGGGAGGTTGGAGCAGATGAAAGAAATGATCTGACTTAAGTTTTGTCAGAATCGCTTTGGCTGTTATGTCAAGAATTGGCTATGAGGGGCAGGCATGGAAGTACAGAGTCCACTTGGAGGGCTATAGATGGTAGTGGGTTGGATTAATGTGGCAGTGAAAGTATTTTGTAGGTAAAATAAGTTGTTTTGCTGATGTATTGAAGATGGGTATGACAGAGAGATAAGATGTGTCCAAGTTATGCTGTTACAACACATACCATGAATAAAGTGATGCCTGTTATCATTATCATCATGGTATTAAACTTTTATCTGAAACCTTCCATCATATTTTCCCAATCATTGATTTCATTGACAGTTTTTTTTTTTCCTTTGGAAAAACTCATAGTCATTTGTAGTAGTAAGTTCTAGTCACTGCCCCCTGTTCTTAGCAGCCTGCCCTCCTACTCACCCCACTCCATTGTTCCCCCTGAAAATAAAATCAAATCTGGGAGTTTACATATATTTATTCTCTTTTGCAGTTCTAAAGCAAATGAAACTTTTAAAACATACGCTACATCTGAAAAGATTCTCAGCATTGAATCTTTAAGAGATTAGACTTTAGCGAATTTTGAACATAGGTACATGGTTAGTTTGTGATAACTGTGATGAGATTTGCTCTGTTTTCCCTGAGAAGCTTACAGATAGCAGAGATTTAGTAGTGATGAGTCTCATTTGATTTGAGATGCAGCCTAAATCTCCTGCAGAGGATCTTATCCTTCCCTGTGCCCCATACAGTTGAATAGCTTTCTAATGCATGTGTAATATGAATGTCTTTGGCAGTAAAAAAGATGATTCTTGCCTAGATTCTCAGTAAATGTCATGGAGTCCCCAGTAAATTTCTTAATTCTTTTTTTTTTTGTTTTTTTGGTGTGACTGAGACTCACCATGCTAATATTTGTGTGACAACTAATAGATATTTGCAAACTTGGCTTTTGAAAAAACACCTTAATTTTTCGCTGGTATTTATCCTTGCTTCATTAAGTTCTAAGTACCTTGATCTTTCTACCTTGTGTAATAAGAGCAAATGCTAAAAATTTACAAAAATAACATGAGGTTAATCACGCTTTCAGGTCTCTGCCCTTTTTCTAACTAAGGAACAAGGTCACTGGAACAGATCCACTGTTTCAATTGGTGGTTAATTATAAGGCTTATTGTCACTATTCCTATCCCTAGAGAATCAAAAAGAAACTCATTACCACTAGTCACATCCAAGAGAATGTAAACTATCAAAAGATAGCTCACTTTGAACTCTTTTAAGAGACAATACTATCTTCATTTTTCAACTAATGAAAGAACTTATGAGACATAGCACTTTGTACCTCTTGTTAGGGTATTATTTTATACTTTACATCATAATTGATTGTGCATATTTAATCTGCCCTACTAGACTGTGTGCTCATTGGAATTCATTGTCAGGTTCACCTTTTGTAACCCTTATAAGAAATAAGTGTAAAATCTTATTCAGTGAATTACTTCATGTAGAATGTCCAAAATACAGGAACTGGTCCAGTAGGAAATTTTCTGTTCCTGATGCAAATTGGACTTAGGCAGCTATGGTGTAGTAAAAGGCACAATAGATATGAAATTAGATGTAGTTTTCGTGTCAATTTCATTTCTGCATTTCTGAACTCTTGACAATTGGAGAAGCCTTAATTTCCTGAAGAATAAGACAAGGGATAATTCTTACTCTCCCAGGGGATTAAGTGAGCTTGTATATGTGAACATACCTAGAATAGTGACTGGCATGGAGCAGTTGTTTATCTTGTGTTAGGTGAGTGAATGAATGAGTCGTCTCCACAGAGGTAACCTAGTTTGGCATCTAAAGTCTATTTTATAACTAAACCAACAAAAACGTTTTTATTGAAAAAGTTAAATTTAGTGAAAAAAATCTACCTTTCTTTTTACTGTGTGACTTTCACTGTCAAGATGTATTGCCTGTTAATTCCATAATGTTTTGTTTGGTAAATTAAGGTAATATTTCTATCCTTAATCAAGCCAAACTTGATTGAGACAGCATCCATCTGCTAATTCGAGCATTGACCAGTTCATAGGCTGGCTTCTACAAATGGGCCATAAAGATATATTTCTGAATATTGACTGTAGATTATTAATGCTAATCAGTTAAAAAATCATTGGAATTTGTGGTTTGTCACACAAAGCCATTATTCAGCTACAAAGAATACTTTATTACTTTGTTGCTATCACATTAAAAGCTCATTACTTCTATATCTGATATTCAATTTATCCATGTCTCACTATATTTCAGCTACATGATACAATATTATTCATTCATTCAACCAATATTTACTGAATGCTTACCAGTGCCAAGCTCTGTTCTAGGTGTTGAGGATATAGCAGTGAATAAGACAGGCAAGGTCTCTGTTATACTGCAATTTACATTTTAATGGGGAAGGCAGATAATAAACAGATAACAAAAAAGGCAATAAGAGAATGTCAAGGAGTTGGTGCTATGTAAAATACTTTTGAGTAAAGACCTGTATTAAGTGAGGGAGAAAGCCATTGCAAGTATTTGGGAACCAGTGCTTCACATTTAAGGAGGAGTTAGTTCAAGGGCTCTGTGATGAGTATTTGCTCTCGTTGTGTTTGGATGTGAATGAGGAGTTAGGTGTACCTGGAGTGCAGTGAGCAAGAGAGAGAGAGAGCAGATAAGGTCAATAGCAACAAGGAACTAGAATATTGAGTGGTGAAAGCCCTTATAAAGACGTTGGCTTTTATTCAGAATGACTTGGATAATCAGTGGAAAATTTTGAGTGAACATAGGAATAGCATGATGTGGCTTATGTTTGGAAAGGATCACGCTGGCTGTTCTATAGAGAATGGAGTGGTGGTGGAGGCATGGCAAGAATAGATGCAGGGAGAGCAGTTACGGCTACTGCAGTAATCCAAACTGGGAATGAGACTTGGACCAGGTGGTGAAAAGTGTACTGAGTCTGTACGTGTTTTGAAAATTGATCCATTAGAGATTGCTGATGGATGTTGAGTTTGAGAGATAAAAGGCAAGTCAAGGATAAGTAAATGGGTAAATGGTGGTTGCCATTACTGATATTAGGAAGACTGAGGGAGGAACATATTTTGTCAAAGAAAAGATCAGGAGTTCTTTTTGGATCTCTTAAAATTGAAATCTGATTAGACATCCAAATTGAGTTATCGTGCGGGCAACAGACGAGTATCTGCGAGTCATTAACAGATAGGTGGTATTTAATGAGATGGAAGTGGAAGAGACCACGTAGGGAAACAGGCCTAATGACTAAGCCCTGGTACTCCGATGCCTAGTATTCAGGAAGCAAGAGTAAGATCTAGCAAATTGTGAAGGAGTAGCCTTTGAGGTAGAAGTATATCCTCATGTGTGTGGTGTCCTGCAAGTCAAGTAAATGTATCAAGGGAAAAGGAAGGATCAGTTGCATCAAATGCTGAAATGCTTGGTAAGATGAGGGCTGAGAAGGGCTGAGAAGTGATGATTTGATTTGGCAATATGGAGGGCATTAGTGACCTTGACAAAAGCAGTTTCAGTGGAGTGGTTAGATATAAACTTCATTAGTGTGGTTTCAAGAAAGAGTGAGAAGTGAAGAAAGGGGAGGTGACAAGTATAGTTTCATTTCAGGAATTTTTGTCCCAAAGTGGACCAGATAAGTAGAGTTATAATTGAAGGGAGAGGCGGTAATGTAAAGGAAGATTATGCATGTTCAGAATTTTGTGTTGTTTTTGTTTTCCTGATTATTTTTAAAATTTCTTATTGATGTATAATATTTGTACATAACTCCAGATAAATAGAGTTATAGTTGAAGGGAGAGGCAGTAATGTAAAGGAAGGTTATGCATTTTTAGATTTTTGTGCTGTTGTTTTTGTTTTCCTGATTATTTTTAAAGTTTCTTATTGATATGTAATATTTGTACATATTTATGGCATACATGTGATATTTTGATACATGCATACAGTGTTTAATGACCAAATAGATGACAGATATCATAGCATGTATAATACAGCATTCTGTATGCTTATCGGAACACCCAGTCAAGAGGAAAAGAAAACTTAATGTGTGGGGTAGAGTAAGACTTTCTAGAACAATGTCTTTTCATAGTCTACAGAAAATGGGATGCAGTGCACAGGCGAAGGAGTCAAATTTAGGTAACAGCTTATTCATTGGAAGAGGAGGGAAAGCAGGTCTCTAGGCACAGGAATAGATATTATCGGTTGGTAGATTTGGTGTCAGATGTTGACATTTCCCATTTTTTTCACTGACTGAAACAAGAAATTAGGTCAGCTGAAAATGAAGGAAGGCTGGGGCGTTGGAGGTTTGAAGGAGGAAAAAGAGTAGGGGAGCAAATTGTCTAAATAAATGAATTTTGGGCAGAGTTGAATACGTATTTCAAACAATATACTGCTTAGTTGTGGGTTTTTCTTCATCTACATTCAATTGCTTGGGTGAAGGTGTGGGTGGAAATGAAAGGTTGGAAGTAACTAGAGTCAAAATTTTCCCAGGCAAGTGTGGTAGAGGGAAAGAGCACATAGGAATGATTACAGTGACCATGGAATCTGAGCTGGATAGGGAAAGATGTGATGATTTGAGGAAGATAATGCACAGTGAAAATGTGATAGAAATGGGTTAGAGGTCTTAGTGGATGGAATCATTGTTGGAGAGGTGGTACATACAAGAGGGGTATTTGTATGAGTGCACTGGAAAGGTAGAAGGTAGTGGTCATAAAGTAGGATAATGTGAATTGTATTTTTTAGAGGTATAACAGATGTAACTAGATGGCTGAGGTGGGGCAGAGCATGAGCTCGCTGGAGGTAAGGAGATAGAGGAACTGAACAGTATTAACACAAATAAAAAAGGAACTGAACAGTATTAACACAGATAAAAAAGTTTACTCTCTCTCTCTTCCCCTCCCTTTCCCCTTCACCTCCTCCTCTCTTCTCCCGCCAGGCTGAGATTGTGGGCAAAAAATTATTAAGCCTTCTGCCTGATGAAGAGAAAGATGAAGTCTACCAAAAAATTATTCTCAGATTTCCTTTGTTAAACTCAGGTATGTATATTTTTAAAAGTAGTAAATTCTTAGGTTTTAAAGGACAAGTAACAATCACTCAATGGATTAATTTTTAAAAAGATAATTAGAGCATATATGGCTGTTGATCATATATTAATTTACTTTTATATAATATTACAAACTATATTTTTAGTGTTAAAAAATCTCTCCTCCATTAAATCTTATTCTTCACCACAGACCCTGAGTATTGTAGCATTTGTACAATTGCATTAGTGCTGTATAAATAATGGACCATCGTGTGTAGTGTTCTAGCTGGTGCCCTGCTCTACTGATACAACATAGATAGCTATGTAAATGCTAATGTTCATGGAAAGAAAATAATATTTTTGTGAAATCTAATCTAAGTAAGACATTGGTCATATGAAATAATCCAGTAGAATATGGTAAAGTACAAATGTAGACTTGTTTTGTATTTGTTCTCTTTTTATTAGAAACACATATTGAATTTTGCTGTCATTTAAAAAGAGGAAATGTTGAACATGGTGATAGTTCTGCTTACGAATACGTGAAATTTATTGTGAATGTAAGAGATATTTGTAATGGTAAGCAATTCTGTTTATCTTATCTATATGACATTTATGAGTTATGTAGCCTCTCATTACTAACATAAATGCTCTTCTGCTTGGTACTTGCAAACTGTCTGATATCCCTGTGGCCACAGTTTCTGACTACTCACATTAATTAGACTTTAAAAAAATTAACAGTGAAATTTACAAGGTGGGGGACACTGAGTTGTTAAGGATGGCTCTTTCCTTTTATAAAACAAGGAAATGATTGCAAACATATAACAAAAGAAGTTTAATGCATATCCAAGCTTAAAATAATGGGGACTCTATGTGTCTATGTGTACCAGAAATTAAAGTTTAAAGCAGTATGATAATGATAAGAAGAAGCTGATTTTGTGGTGGCCTTGGTGGGTTTTAAGTCATGCATAGGCTCCATTGGCTGGGGTCAGGAATTCTAACACCCAGTCAAGCACCAGTATATAAAACCTAGAGATCAATAAAGTGATCAATAAAGTTCTGTCCATTGGCCCAGAGGAATAGTGAGTGGGTTCATCATCTCTCTCTGGGAATTTGAATGGACAAAATGTGCCACTTACAGGAAACCAAAACCCAAATTTTTGTTGCGTGTGGATATAGGGTCCATTTTACAAATTTTGAGGTGTCAGAAACTGCAAGCTGAGAAATTAACATAAATTAATTAATATTAACTGGTTTGGAGCCATTAAAATATCTGGGACTTGAATCAGAGGTAAATAGCCCAAATAGCTAACAAATATATGAAAAGATACTCAAACTCACTAATAAGCAAAGAATGAAACATTTAAAAACCAATGACATTAGCACTCTACACCCATCAGAATGGGAAAAATTAGAAGTGTGAATAATACCAAATATTGGTGAACATGTGAAAAATAAATAAATAAATGAAATTAACTCACGCAAAAGCTGGCTGATATATTTGTCATGATTCTTGGAAATTAAAGGTCATACTTTTTGAAAAAATCTTACTTGACTATGTGTGCACAGGTTACACACACACACACACACACACACACACACACACTCCCACACACTCTACCCATGTGGTCTATATAAAAGAGAGGAGCCACATCTCTTTTGGAGGCTAAAATGTCCATCCACAGGGTAATAACGGAAGACTGAAAACCAACCTTAACTCTCAACATTTGATTCTCAGTAATGAATTATTTATGTTTTGGTGGGGAGGGTGGCTGAAAAGGAAAGAAGACAGGAAAAATCCCATGGCTCAGAATTTTGAAAATTGTCAATGGGTTAGCAAACAGCACATGGATGTGGCAGGTATTTGTCTTCTTGTTTTACTGGTCCACTTTTCTGTTGTCACATGTGTGTCTATCTTCCTTAGAGTCTACTATGGTCTTTAGTGGCTTATTTTCCAACCACCTCCATGCTGACTTGTCTGCTGCATGTATTCCTCAGGAGGATCGGTTTTATCTTGTGGGAAATGTTTGCATTCTCAGGACTCAGCTCCTGCAGGTGGGTATACTGTGTTTGTGCTTCCCCCATTGTGGTGACGTGGGCTTCCTTTGAAGGGTCATTTCCCCTTTGGTCTCTCAGCCACAGGACAGCATTGCTAAATTACTCAGTGTGTGCAGAGGGTTGTGCTAGGATATGCAAATAAGGAAAATCAGCTCCTATGTTTCAGAAAGTGAACATCTCAATGAAAATTTGGACACACTCAAAAGAAATGCACAATCATTTACAAGTAGTCTTGACATAATATAAAATATTATAAAAGGTAGGTGCTGGGGACTGGAACACATTAAGAGAAATGAGCATTTTGGCAGGGAGATGAAGGAAGGCTTCTGATACCAGGTGAGTTTTGAGGCAGCTCCACCACAGCCCCATTGGGTAGCTGATTGTAAAGACTTCTGCTCTCTTTGTGTTCTCTAATATACCATTCACAAATTCTAGCTCTAAAAATGATTCACTTTGGGATTCCTCTGATAGATTAAGCATCCATTAATTTATCCATTCAGTAACATATTTAGTAAGCACCTACTGTGTTCCAGGTACTGTGCTAGGTGCCAGAGAGACATTAGGGGAGATAGGCAATGGCTAAATAATATTGGAAAGTGCCATGGAGGATGACAGAATAATGTGCTAATGACTAGTGCGGGTGGAGAGTTCAGACAGTCATCAGGGAAGGTCCTTTTCGGATAATTTGTCTTTTGAGCAGAGACCCCTAGGGATGCTAAGAAAGGAAGGCAACGCAGGTAGAGGGTTCAACATCTGTAAAAGACCTGAGGTAGTAACTAGCTTGGAGAGTTCCAAGTAACAAAGTAAGTTATGTGACCAGAATAAGGTGAAAGTGGGAAGGAGCAACAGAAAATAAGATCCAGGAGAGAGACAGGGGACTAATTATGTAGAACTTTGAGATCCATGGTAATCAGTTTGGGTTTTATTTCAAGTGCATTGGAAAGCAGGAAGGTGACATGATCTGATTATCTTTGTTAAAGGTCAGGCTGAATACTGGGTGAGAAATGGAGTATAGAGAAACAAGAATGGAAGCAAGAAGACCTAAGTGAAAGATGACAGGGGCTTGGACTATGATTGTACTAATGGAGATAAAAGTATTCTGATTTGGGATATATTTTGGAGATAGTGCCCTTGCTGATGAGTTAAAAGTGTCTAGGAGAAGGGAGAGAAACATCTCATGGAGGACTCTTAGCTTTTTGGCTTATGGAACTCAGCAAATGGAGGTGCCATTAACTGATTTTAGCAAGACTGGGACAATGTGGATCAGGCAATGTGGGAGGCTAAAATCAACAGCACTGTTTGGGCCATGTTAATATTGTGTTGATGTTACAACATAAAACATATCCAGCTCATTATCTTATAAGGGAAACCTCTGATCCAGATTTCCTGTGTTCAAATCCTTTCCCTACCAGCTATGTGACCTTGGCCAAGTCACATCCTTTAGCCTGTTTCTTTTTCTATAAATGGCAGTCATAGTACCTTCTATTAGAGTTGTAAGGAGTAAATAAGACAGTTTCTCCTATATGGTAAGCACTCAGTAAATGTGAACTATTACAATTGTCGTGATCATTGTTATTACTGTCATTATTACTGCCAGTGATCCAGAGAGGGCAACATACTTGCTTTACTTTTCATCTCTGGTTTAAAATGTGGGATTTTCAGACCACATTTTAGAAACCGTGGAGTGGGCCTTTGCATTCAGTTTTAGAACAAGTAATATATGTCATCATTTCTTCAAATTTAAGATGGTAAGAAAAGCAGTATAGAAGAAAGACAGTTTAAGGAGGTTGCCTAATTCAGTTGCCCCTTCCATTATTCCTTCTTTGTAGCCTTGTGGGATTTGAACTGTCACATCTGCTATGAGAATACAGACATCCCACTTTGGAAGTCAACCCCAGTACCTACTTCCTTCTCTGAGAAAGAGAAAATAATCTTATTTGGCCCAATACCTTGGTTGCCCTTACAGCACAAGGAACTCTATTTGTGTTCTAGTCCAGTTTCTCTCTAGGTTTATAGGATGTTTGTTCCATATTAGTGGACATTTTGGAGAAAAAATCTTGTGCAAACAGATGGCTTTTTGGAGGAAGATTTTTTCACAGTGTGACTGTGTAGTACAGTGGGAAGAGTGATGAACTCACAGTTCAAACTTTGAAATTCTGCTCCTAGATCTACTAGCTCTATTTCTTGGGTCAAATCATTATATCTCTATAATCTTGAGTTTTCAAATCTGTAAAACTCCAGTGCATTTCTCACATTGATATGCAGATTATTTGTAACATTGGATATGAGCATGCCTCCAAAATTAATATATGCTATGCATTTTTACTATTTGCATACATACTAAATATTTAAATATTTGAATTTTTCTGCAGCAACTTTACACTTCAAAGGCAGTCAGTGACGAAGCTGAACTTATACAAGATTCAGATGAGGAACCTTTTGTGGGAGAGCTCAGGTGAGAGGTAGTATTGATAAAGGTAATGAAGATCTAGAATACAATTTTACTAAACAAAACTAAAACAAGAGAAATAACACCTACAGATATTTTTTTCCCATCAAATTGAAAAGAAAAAGAAAAAAGAAACAAATGGGCCAGGGATGGTGGCTCATGTCTGTAGTCCCAGAACTTTGGGAGGCTGAGGCAGGAGGAGCCCTTGAGCCCAAGAGTTTGAGACCAGCTTGAGCAACATAGTGAGACCCTGTTTCTACAAAAAATACAAAAAAAGTAGCCAAGCATGGTGGCATGTGCTTGTAGTCCTAGCTAGCTGGGAGACTGATGTGGGAGGATCAATTGAGCCTGGGAGATCAAGTCTGCAGTGAGCAGTGACCGTGCCACTGCATTCCAACCTTGGCAACAGAGTGAGACCCTGTCACTAAATAAATAAATAAAACCAGAATAGCAGTCTACTAGTCTGAACTTCCTTTCCCAGCTCATATAATTTACATGTTTTTCCAACAGAATATAAATACAGGTGATTGGCTTTTTATTGTTTTTAAAAAAACATTAAAGCAATAAATAGAGAAAACTTAACTGACCCAGACATGTAATGACTTTCAAATTAAGGTAATGCATTTTAATATACTACTTCATTAATTTTTTCCTTGAAAATAAAGGTAATGTTTAGACACTTTTAAATGGTAGAAGAGCAAGTATGCGTTGTGGTAACTGCTAATTATACAGGATCCCTCTTTTGTGAATCTAATATGTTCTTTAAAATTTGTTTACTAACACATTTTCAGAGAGTAGAAGCCAATATTCCACTATTTTACATGAGAAAAGTAAAAATATATTCCTAACCCCCAGGAAAATGCTGATTAATTTGCCAGATACCACTAACACCCCTTTATAAACTTATTTAACAAACCACAAAGGAGTTCTGTAAAATGTAAATTATTTATAATACTGTACAGTTATTCAGCATTTGATAAACTAATTGTTAGGTACGTTTGTATGTAGTAAGCCACAAGAGCATACACCATAGTGTCTGGTATTGGGAATGGATTCCATTTTCCTTCTACATTGCAGTGTACATGTACTGGTAAATAAATAATGAAATAATATATTAAATATATTAAAGATGTGCACTGTATGCCAATACTTAGCAAAATAAAATAAGCAAACAAGGGAACTTTCAAAGAGGTTTCTTGGGATCAAAGGCATGCTTGTATGAGGTCTGATGGTGAGAAGAGTGAGCTGGAAGCTGTGGTCACTGTTACTATTCAGAGGCAGAAGGAGGTAAGGAAGCCAGAGCTGGTGAAGGAATGAGTTAAACAGGAAATATTTGAGGCTCATCTGGATTTAAGAGAAGGCAGGGAGAATCTTCCATTCCCATCAGAAGAGTACAGAGGTGATTGGCTGTCAACCATTGTCTGATGCTACACACAGAGCAATGGGATGAGAAACAGAACTTATGGTGGCTAGCTATTTACATCCCCTTTGCTTGGTTAAAAATTCTTGTTAGCATAAAGCTGCATTTGTATTAATAATTGTGTAATTGTATATTGAATGTGACAATATGACTTGTCTGCTCATGCCATGATCACATTTATTTGTACCAGCATGCTGTTTTTATGGAATCTAATTTTTTTTTTTTTTTTTTTTTTTTTTTTGTTTTTTTTTGAGACAGAGTCTCACTCTGTGCCCAGGCTGGAATGCAGTGGTGCAGTATTGGCTCACTGCAACCTCCGCCTCCCGGGTTCAGTGATTTTCCTGCCCTCCTGAGTAGCTGGGATTATAGGCATGCACCACCACGCCCAGCTAATTTTTGTATTTTTAGTAGAGACTGGGTTGCACCATGTTGGTCAGGCTGGTCGAACTCCTGACCTCGTGATCCACCCGCCTCGGCCTCCCAAAGTGCTGGGATTGCAGGTGTGATCCGCTGCACTCGGCCGTAATCTAAATTTTTAAATGAATCTTCAGTGTTTTATGTTTGGCTCCTAGGAGTGGGGAGCACATGCATGACCAAACTTAAGACTTCTAGCCAGTCTCTGAATGTGCTTTATTGCTCCCAACTTTTCTTGTAGTACATGGACTTCAATAGGCCTGTAAGTCTTGCCCACTTCCTTCATTAGTTTCTCTAGTTTCTTAGAAGACCTTTTACTGAATAATGTGGAGAATAAGATACATACAAGACAACATGTTTAAACAACATGAACTCAAGACGCTATAAGGAGAATGACTGAGACACAATAGCATGCATGACTTAAACATATTCTTGCATGCGCCCTAAAACAGATTTATTTAGCAGGTTTGGGTAATGAGTTTTGTTTAAAAATTAGCATATCAGTGTAGCAAATATTTAGACAGTGGGAGTTTAGAGAACAAAGATACCTGTATTTTATTTAAAGGTAGAGCTTAGTTGGATGAAAAATATTCTGATGCAGGAAGGAGCCAGCTACCACATCTATGCCATAATCTTCATAAGATACATAAGAAAAGTGCTTTCTGAAGGCTTAAAATTATGTCTTTTCTAATTTTGTAAGAAATTATGACTCAAATGTGGGTGAATGCACACTCTTTCCCCTTAAGTTCAAAACTAGACAATGGATTGTTTATCATGTAGGAAGTAAGATAGAAAATGACACTTGGGGAAAAAACGGATGCATTTAATGAAGAAAAGTCTGATTAATTCCAGACTGCTTGTCCCTCTCATATCCCTCCCTCCTCCAACTCCATCGCCACTACTCTGGCCCCAGTCTCTTCAACTGTCATGTGATAGACTGTTGGTGGACCTGGCTGGCCCACTAACTTGAGCTCTGTAAGGCAGGACCTGTCACCCTCATCCTTGTCTAGCACAGAGCCTGATATTGAGTAGGCAGAAGTGACATCTGCTCATTAACTGATTGGTTACTTGATCTTATCAAAATGGTAATACATTCCAGGCCATGAGATCTCTCAATCATTATGCAGTATTGTTAGAAAAAAGTGCAAACCAGTACCCTATTGCTTGATTTTTTCATAGACTTGTCTCTTCTCCCCATGATATTTTCAATTAAAAAGGAGAAGAGATTGCGTTGTATCAGGGTTGTAATTTTTAGTTATTAATAGTCTGGCTTCCATTTTACCCTCTGGGAGATAGTTAGAAAAGCAATTGGTCACAAATGTCATAGGGACCTACAGCTCCCAAAATGTTTCCCTTATCTTGGTAATTCAGTTTTTTAAGAGTAAGAAGCATCCTCCTGAGTTTTTTCTACGCTTATGAAGGAAACACAAAGATGGGAATTTGAAGTGTTTAGAAGAAAGGGTGTATTTCCACATAGAATGTCCTGTTTGTGCATGTTTAAGATTTGAGGCTTAAAAATCTTTCATTTCAGGAGAGGGCCTGAACAGCTGGGGTATTTTTCATTGAGGCTACAGATGTACTGGAGTGGAAAGTCTTGCTTTCCTGGACTACTGAAGGTAGAAAGAAGTAAGGGATTTGTGAGTCAGTGAGGGTCAGGCAAAGAAGTGAATATTGAGTAGCCCTCTGCTGTCTTGCTACTGCTAGAGTCAGAAGTAAGCAACTAAATTACTTTTTGGATTTACCCAGTTGTATGTATTGGTAAGGCCCAAATTCCTATCATAGCATCATCTTTTAACACAGTGCAATTTGTTCTTCATACTTCATGATGCTATATTATGTTTATTACTCAGTTATTTTCTACACATCTAAAAAGTAGATTTTAGACTTATTGTACAGGTGAGAAAGTGCATTCGCAGAGGATGTATGATTCACCCAAACTCACACAGCTGGTTAGGCAGTATAGCTGCATTTGGGACCTAAATTATCCTAGGCTCCATTCCACGAGGACACCAGTTTCAGGAGCTGTGGCTGGTATAAGATTCAAGAGAGAAAACTCAATGAGTCTTTGGGAAGTACGTGACCAGGGATGTTACTAAGAAAAAGCATTTTTCTTTTTAATTTCACCTTAGAGGGAGGAGACTATACCAATTAGTTAGTCCTAATACTTTTTACAAAGATGGCACATTTTCACCCAAAAGTAAAGTAGAAAACACTGGAAAATCAAATGATGAGTATTTCCCAGGTTCTGATAGCTGTTACCTGTGCTTGCAAAGTCCTCAGAAACTCTGCTACAGGACTGGAATTGGTCCCTGGGGAGACTCCATCTGTCAGCAACTCCACCAGAAAGAATGTTCCTGCCTAATTCCTCTTTCAGTGAAGACACACTTTGTACAGAGGTGTGGGGAAAATTTTGCAAAGATGTGCAATGGTCCTAATTAATGAGGTTTTGTTGTACTGAGTCTTTTTACCGTACTATACCGTATTGACTCCATTCCTTATGTCTGCCCCATCTTGAACAGAGGAGGAGCCTTGCACATCATTGCAAATGTGGCTAGCGTGCCTAGTCTTACCACTTTAGTCCCAACAAAACTTATTTATTCATACAGAAAATATTTAGCATCTACTATGTGGAAGTTTCTGTTCCAAGATTTAAGGATATGGTAGTGAGCAAAAGTCCTTATCTTCATGGTGATTACATTCTGGTGGAGGAAAAAGATAATAAACAAATCAATAGACTATAGAGTAGGTGAGATGATGAGGGCCAAGGGAAAAAAATTGAGCATTGAAAGGCGGGGAGTAGGGAATGTTATTGGGGGAAGGTTAAATATTACTAGATTTTGAAATGGCATTTTATAGGTTGAAAATGGAGTAATGTTGGCAATTCCCTGTGGTTCCCTTGTGGCCAGAAAGGGCCTCAACAAGAAGGTGACTTGAGTTAACATCTGAAAGGAGTGGAGGAGCAAGCCTCGTGGATTTTGGAGGAGATATTCCAGACAGAGGGAAGAGCAGATGCAAAGTCCTTGAGGCAGAAGTACATGGCAGAAGCGTATGTTTGAGAAACAGCAAGGGAGCCAGTGTAGCTGGAGCAGAGTCACTAGAGAGGAACATTCAGAGCATGCAGGGCCTGTGAGCAACTGTGAGGGAAGGACCAGGATCATGTCAGCTCGACCCT